GAGAGAGAGAGAGAGATAGAAACATCAATGTTGAGAGAGTCATTGATCGGCTGCTTCCTGCACGCCCCCCACTGGGGGTCGAGCCCACAACCCAGGCATGTGTCCTGACCAGGACTCAAACCTCAATCTCCTGGATCCTAGATCTGTGTTTAACCGCTGAGCCACGCAGGCCGGGCATGGTCAATCTTATTTCATCTACACTCCCACCTGCATTCACATACACCCACTGGATTGTTATGAAGCAAATCCAAAACATCATAGCATTTCAACCAAAAATATTTCTGTAATACTCTCTAAAGAATATGAACTCTTTTATAAAAGACATAATCACAAAACCATATCAAACAAAATAAATTAATAATGTCCTTATTTCCCTAATATTAAATATTCAACATGCAAATTTTAATTGTCTCATAAATTTTTTACAGTTGGTTTATTTGAATCAAAATTCAAATAAGATCCATATTTTGCAACTGGTAAGTATTATTGTTGTTGCTGTCATTGCAATTTATTTGTTGAAGAAACTGAGTAGTTTTTCTTAAAGGGTTTACCACATTCCAGATTTTGTTGCTTTACATCCAGTGATGTTATTTTACCATGTTCCTTTGACTATCCAATATCTAACTGAGAAAGGCCAGGATATACTCCGGTGCTATCCTCCTCCAGGGATTATTGTGATTCTCAAATGTTATATATGTGGCAGGTACTTTTTAGTGTAAAGTCAGAAGCAGATTTCACTCACCTTAACTTTCCATGGTCCCACCACTCTCAGATGCGCCCTCTGCAGGTTTTACACAATGATGGATTCCCCTTCCTTGGCTGCTTTCTCTTTTCTTTTCAGGAGCATTCAGAAAATAAACAATATTCCCAGAAATGTCAGGACTCTTTCTTGTCACACCCGCAGCCCCTCTCCCCCGGCCGGGCACACATGGGGCTGAGGCGTTACTATAGCATCTGCCAGGATACTGCCTTCGGGCCATCAGGCTTCCAAGAAGGGGAAGAAGAGTTGAAAAAGGAGAGGAGCACTCAGAATTCCCTCAGCCCCACCATGGCACCCAAGCTCAGCTTAGAGGTTCGAAAGCTCAGCAATGGTAGGTTGTCGACATCCCTGAGGCTGGGGCCCTTGCAACCTCGGGGAGTGCCACTTCGGGAGAAGAAGGCGACCCAGATGCTGGCCATTGTGCTGGGTGAGTCGGAATCAGGTTGAGCTGGGCCGGGTTAGGTTGAGTTCAGGGCAGCTGGCAGAGGGTTCAGGTAACCACATTTGAAAGAACTTGGAAATCCAATGACTGTAATATTTATAAGTGTTTATCATACAACTCTAAAGGGTTTGTGTGTAAATGTTAAGTGGTGGAAATCACAGGACCTAGACTGAAATTTATGAAATATGAAACTCAGCACTTCACCTAGTTGAGCTGCGTTTATCCACTGTGTTTATTGTCTATCACCTGGACTTATTTATAATAACAGATAAATCAAATAATAAATAACATAATGATTAAGTAAAAGTGTGTGGCACATGCCAGATATTTAATAAATGCTTACTCTAAAATATTAAGTAAAAAAAATAAGGATGCAAAAAACTACAGTCATGTGGTATGATAACATCTAGATTATTTTAAATACAAAAAAAAACCCTGAGAATTAATTCACCAAAATGTCAAAAATGATTGGCTTTGAGTGGTGGGAGGTTATTTTCTTCTTTCTACTTTTTTGTATTTATCAAATTTTCCATGATGTATAAAATCAGAGCTAGTTTTTAATAGTAAAAAAATTTAACTTCTTCAACAAATATTAATTTATTTAAATTAAAAAATTGATAAGTTACAGGTACCATACAGAGTTAGTGAAGGTAATTCCTCTTCTTCATTATCACTGACAAACCTCACCTTCTCAGGGGCTTTATGAGAACCCCTAGATGTAATCTTCTCAACAGCAGGAATTACGTCAATTGTATCTTTAGGGTTTTCTTTCCTATCAGTGGCTAGGATCATGTCTTGATGGCTAAACATTACATAAATATTTGTTTTAAACGGAGAAGTAGAAAAAACTAGCATAAAGAACTACCTCAAGATCAAACTAGAAAATTGATTTAGGAACAAAGGCCTAAAATGAATCAAAAGACATTTTGATGTTTCCTCGTCAAAAAAAATAATACTAATAAGTGGCTAATCACACCTACTTCACAGGGTTGGCTTAAAAATTGAATGGGTATGTAAAATTCGGGCCTAGTATCTGGCATAAAGAAAACAAGCATGGATTACTTTCATGTTATAACAAAAAGAGTAAGCAAACCTGTTGCTCAGGTTTCTCTTCCTTTGATACCTAGGGACCTTCATTGTCTGCTGGCTGCCCTTCTTTCTGACCCACGTTCTCAATACCCACTGCCCAGCATGCCACGTGTCTCCAGCGCTTTACAGAGCCACAACGTGGCTGGGCTACGTGAACAGCGCCCTCAACCCTGTGATCTACACCACCTTCAACGTCGAGTTCCGCAAAGCCTTCCTCAAGATCCTGTCTTGTTGAAGGAGAGAAGAGAAGACTTCATGTGTCCACCTTACCTGCCATGCCGTTGGGCCACTGGCCAGCACCTGCTCATAAAGACTGTGCCATGACCTCTGGCATGTGGCGGGGAGAAGATTGCTGGAGCCAGGGTGCCTCTGAGTGGCAGGTGTAACCAACTGCTGCCTCCAAAACAGAATGTTCCTCCTCCCCAGCTAAAATCTGACTTCATCTTGGCAATCTCCAAATGGTTGGAGGGCCCCTGTGTGATAAGCAATAATTCAGAAAGAAGCTGATAAAACATGACTCTACACATACACAAAATCTATCATCAGAAGCATGATTCATTACAGTGAGGGGGAAATGAACAGATCTCATAATTCTCAACTTGCCAGGAGTCCTTGAAATCTCAGCCAGTGAGCCATCTTGCAGAACAGACAGCCTCTCTTCCTTCAAACCTCTAATTAACTGTCAGGCTAAACTTGTACTGATGTGGGCCCACTCCTTTTTGGTTATTTCTTTCATTCATTGTATCCTGAAATATAATGGCAAGGCCAATGCTGCTACCTCTTCATAGAATCTGATTGGCTACATTTGGTGAGGGACATCACTCACCCTGAAGGAGAGACATTGTCCCACATTGGGACCTAGGCTTCTTTTCAAACCTCTCTACCCCTGTGTTTTAACTCTAGCTAAGAAGGTCCTTTGATTCCTGTCTCAACTCCAGAGTAATTCAAGATGGGGGTGTTAAGTGAAGAAAGAATGACAATTCCCACTGTAGTATCACTCTTGAATCTTGTGGTTCAGAACACGCCTTAGATATGCTTTTCATGATGCTATAAGGTTTTCCTCCCAGACATCTCCCTCTCCTGTTTGACAGAGACCCAGTACTTTCAGACCATAAGACTCATTACGTATTTAGTGTCTGCAAAGTTCCTGTCACCTCCCAGGTTCTGGATATATGATTTTGAATAAGACAGATCCTGCCCTCAAGAAGCCCACCACCTTCTCCTATATTTGCCCATTTACTTGTCTAAGGGTGGTAGGGTCTCACCTGGATTGCCAGAGGACCTCAGAACTGAGAGCCCAGGCAAGGTAGCTGTCCAAAGCCATCACATGAACAGTCTTTGTAAAGTCCTGGCACAGATCCTAAACATCCCCATTCCAACAACTGAAATTAAAAGAATATCGAAATAATGTAAATGTCATTCAAAATTGCACTTAGAAGGAACTTGAATATTTTTATCACATACCTTTTCACCTTCAGAAGCTATTTCTTATTGATTATAGAATTGGCATACAATTATGGATAATTTATGAAATGTTATCATCCTGGACCTTAATAAACTTACTGTTAGCTGTTAGTGCATTGGCATGGCGTACCTGCTGCAATGCTGTTAAACTCTAAAGTGCACAAGAAATTCACAAGGAATCCAAGGCTTCCCTTTCCCCATCCCTCTAGCCCCTAGGTGTACAATTCATAATATTTACCCCTAGTAAGTCAGTTACCTGTTTCTCCTAAATGCTTTTAATGCCAGCATTTTTAAAATGTTATTATCTTTAACAATGTTTATATTGTAACTTGGTAAGAAATTCTGACTGTCCACTAGGTCTTGTACCTTGTGCCATTTAACTCAGCTGGTTTATGGTGCAAGCAAAACTGGGCACTGAGACAATTAAATATCTGAAGAAGTAAAAGTATATGATTCCTAAGTTTTTCCATGTGAAATCAACAGCAAGCAGGTTGGACAATGGGGTAAAAGATCACTGAATTCCATGTCAAAATCAGAGTTCTAGGATAGAAACATAAACAGCATTAGTATTAACATTTGTGAGGAATGATAGCAAATATTTTTTCTCCTCTTTTTGCATCAAGTCATTCAACCCTAATGATAACCTTAGCAAGATAAATTCCATTTGCAGATGAGAAAACTGAGGCAGAGGGAAGCTAAAAAATTTGCCCCAAGTCACACACAGTAAGTAACAGAGCTGGGATTCAAATATATTTCAATCTAATTCCCAAGACCATGCAATTTATCACTTCCTCCCACCAGAGAGGTAAAGGGGTGGGAAGAAAAAGGTGGGGGGAAAAAGATAGAACAAGATCCCTGGGAAAGCCTCACTTTACTCCACCCACCTTCACCCCTAGGCTTTCCTGAGAACCCAGCCCAAAGCATTTCTCTCCCTGTCCTTCCAAGTTCAATTTCTGAAACAGTCACATGGGACATCCATAATCTATTTTTATAGAACCATGGGACAGTCCTTAGAGATTATTTGGTTTTACCCTCTCCTTAATTTTCAGAAAAGGAAACTGAAGCTTAAAACTGTTGTCCCGTGTTGGTTAATGACAAACACTCAAATCTGCTGAATCCTATCAGCACTCTTTCCCAAGAGCCCTATAATAACTATGAACTCCATGCAGATAGAAGGAGAAAGTCATATTGTCGTCTCCACCATAGACTGAGAGTTACTTTTTCCCTAGACAGTGTCAATCAGGATACAACATTCCCTTCCCGGAATTTCCTTCTCACCCAGGAAGACCCTCTTGGGTTGTGCCAAGCACTCACTTCAGCATCTTTATCCTAGAATTCTGCATTCTACCTCCTCTACCTCTATAGTTCCTACACGATCCAGCAAATTCAGCCTTGGGGCTCACTACTTTTAGAGCCAGCAAGGCCAAAAATCGCAGGAGAGATGTTGGCCTGAATGAAGCAGAGCAGAGTTCTTGGAGCAAACCAAGTCTGGGGCCCAAAGTAGCCTCATATCTACCTATACTATTTAAGTGAAATGCAAATAGTATGGAAATCCAAATAGATTACAACCAACCTTCAATTTGAGATCTTAAGGAAATATTTCCTTCTTTTAGGACATCATGCTCCAAAACTCCATTCATTATTCATTTATTACATCAATTACATATTCAATAAGTGTTGATTGACTGCCTTCTATGTGCCAGGCACACTGCTTCGTTCTAGAAACATGATTGAAGATGACACAGTTCTTGCCCCCAGAAGCTTGCAGTCCAGAGAGGAGGCAGAATTCATATGTATGGTGATGACCCTCTTGTCTATAGTAAAGAGAATTCATGGTGTTTGGAAGTCTCATATTCAGCCTTGAGAAGGCTTCTCAGGCAAGCACTGTCAGGGTTGAGACATCATTAAAAAGCAGGAGGGGCGTTCCAGGTATAGAAAACCTCTGAAGAACTAAAGATAAAACAAGCAAGGAGCACACAAGGACTCTCAAATAAGCCCATCTGGCCATAGAGAAGGGATCTGAAAGATAAGACAGGAAAGGAAAGGGTCTCCTCTTTGGAGACCTCCTCTACCTTTGCTCAGGTGCCAACTGAGCTGGTGGTGACACCTCTCTAGAAGATTTCTTGATCTTGCTTCCACTTCCTTCCATGTGGACAACACACATCGTAGAACAGCTATCACTGACTTACTTAACTACTTCTTTCTGAGCTACAGTGAATTTCAACAAATGCAGAATTCAATTTCAATTCTTTCTTCTTTTCTCTACAAGAGGGGAAACGGCTACTTGAATGAATGTCAAATCATAGATGGTTAAAATTAAGGCAGTTCTGAGAGTTTGGGTCTGAAATCGAGGGAGGTCAGGCAAAGAGATTTGTTTTCCTGAATGTGTGGACCGGAACTAAGCAGAGAGGCAAAAAGTTTAAGAGATTTGCTCAGAACTGGCTCTTTCCCCGAGGTCCTGACTCCCAGGCCTATCCTTTGGTCCTTTAGTCTCTGCTGACATCAGGCAACTGAAAAAGCTTAATTTAAATCAACACACAAAGAGCAGAGAGGGGATGACAGGCAATTAACTTGATTCCTCCTGTCTACCTAATTCTCTTCTCATCAGGAAGGGAGTGAGTTTCCATGACTACCTCCTGACACAGAGACTCAGCTGAGGGCGATGCCCATGTCAGCTCAGCTCTGTATCACACACTGGCAGAAGCGGCACCTGCGAGACTGAACCAAGCCCAAGACCTGGGACCTCTTGCTCCACCCACCCTCACTTCAGTTAATCACCCAGTCTCCGTCATTGCACATCAAGTCCCTGCTCTGTGCAAAGTCTGCTGGGTTCTGGGAGGAGAGGAGACTGTAGGTCTCTGAGGATGGATGTGCCACCAGGAGGGAGCTGAGCTGAACCACCTTATAGGAAATACAATGGACAGAAATAATTCAATGGCTGCTAACACCAGCAAGTGACCTTGAGGGAGTGTTTTAACCTCAATGAACTTCAACTTTCTTATTAGTAAAATGGGAGACCTAAAGGCCTACCTAGCCCTCCTCACTAAACCATTTAAAATTTAGGTAACATCATGTACTAGACATTTTGTCAACCATAAAACTCTAACATGTATAAGAGATTATTATTATAATTGATATTATTATTATTATTATTATTTTCTCCCTAAGCAGCTGTTTCTATCCTACCTATCTGGTTCACAGCCCACCTTTCTTTCTCTTTGCTGATTCTCTAATTGTCTCAAGTTATTAGGTACAGTCTGTTTAGCCTCCCACATGAAATCTGATTTTTCTCTTATCTTTTGAATAAGGTACTTGGCTGAATGTGTAAGTCAGATCATTAGGCAAATGGATAGTCCCAACAGGGCACCCTTTCTCTATTCACATAGTGCCCACTGATCTAACACCAGGCTGATGGCTGATACCTGATTCTAAAAGCAACTTTGGGGCCTCTGTTCCTCTCCTGGCCAGGAAATGAGGAGCGGAACATATCTATTCCTGAAGACCTCCATCTTCGTTTCTCACCATGTCTAAGCCTAACACCCTTTCCTCTTATTCCATCTCTTCCTGCCTGAGAAAAGTCCATTGGATATAGTGTGTGTGTTTCCCAGGTCTGCTGTCATAAACTGCCACAAATTGAGTGGCTTAGAACAACAGAAACTTATTCTCTCCCGGTTCTGGAAACTAGAAGTACAAAATCAAGGCATTGGCCTGGCCATGCTTTCTCTGAAGACTGTAGGCGGAGGTCCTTCTTTGACTCTTCCTAGCCTCCGGTGGTTGTCGGCAACCCTTGGTGCTCCTTCGCCTGGGGCAGCATAAGTCCAAGCTCT